AAGCATATGCAAAGCCCACAGTGGTCATCTGTTTTTAGCTCTAGCTGAATGTCAGGTCAGATGTCCACTTAAATTTTTCCTTGACATTAAGGCTCAATTGATATAGAGAGGACTACACATTAAGTGAAGTTAGTTTTACTGGGCTATCGAGAGAACATTTTCATTATCCAAGAACGTTCCCTTGTTCTCTACCCATCTTCCACACAACAATCCCTGCCACAGCCCTGCCTGAGGCACCCTCCGTCCTGAGCTCTACCACGTAGTTTCTATCTGTTCTGAACCCTCACATTAGTACGACCTCTACTAGTGCCTAATTGCAGTAGAGTATTTCTATCAGAACCATGTCAGAAGTAACTTCACAATGCTTCTCATTTCCCCCAGTTTTATATACAGGCACGAGGCAATGATGGTAATTAAGCACGCCATGTTGTACAACCTGACCAATAACCATTTCCACATTGTTTTCACCACTCTTAACAAAATTCAGTAACACCCCACCCCCACCCCCGCAAAGCAGTAACTCCTCATTTTGCCCCCGAGACATCCCTGGCAAATATTAACCTCATTCATAAACACTGGTCTCAAGGCATCTGCCTAGTCTAGATATTTTATATAAATAGGATCATACAATATCTGATCTTCAGTGTCTAACTGGTTTCACTCAACATAAAATTTCTAAGTTCATTTATGTCATAGCATAATTTCCATCCTCTACAGGAGTTGAAATTACATTTTTATAAATATGCTTTTAATTTTTAAATGTTGAAAACCAAAACAAATTTTAATAAAACAATGCATAAACCAGTTAAAAAAAAACACCTGCCCCTTTTCTTTGCTGTCATTTCCTCCTGCTTCCTCCATCCTTCCTCTGCTCTAGCTGTTCTGTCAACTCGCCAAGTGCACACTGGTGTCAGGGTCTTGGTACTCGCTAGAATGCTGTACTCCCAGATAGTCTCATAACTTTTCTCACCTTCAGGTCTACATTCAATGTCACTTCCTTAGGGCAAGCCTTTTCTGACACTATTTTTAAACTCCACTGTCTTCTTGGATTCTTCCCCCCATAGCGTTTATTACCATCTCACATACTGTTTGAGGAATGCAGGTGCCATAGTGGGTTAAGCATTTGGCTGCTAAGGGCACGGGTGGCAGTTCAAACCCACCAGCTACTCCATGGGAGAAAGATGAGGCTTTCTTTTCCTGTAAAGATTTACAATCTCAGAAACTCACAGGGGCAGTTCTACTCTGTCTTACAGGGTCTCTCTGAGTTGGAATCTACTCAATGGTAAGGAGTTGGTGCTTGTTTGTTTTTAAGTTTGCATACAATAGCCTGCTAAAGTCTGAGGTGACCTGGGAAGAGAAAGAATCTCAAGGTGATGGATTGGTACAGTGGCTGCAGCAGTGAGCTCAAACAACATCACAACGGTGGTGATACCCAGCCGTGCTTTCTTCTGCTGTAAGTAGAGTGAGTACCGTTGCATTAGAGCCACCTTGATGGCTCCCAACAATGACATCCGACAGATTGTACTTCCTTGTTTACTTCCCTCCTCCTCTTCACTTAGAATGCAAGCTACAGGAAAAGAAAGCCTCATCTTTCTCCCTTGGAGTAGCTGGTGGGTTTGAACTGCCACCCTTGCCCTTAGCAGCCAAATGCTTAACCCGCTATGGCACCTGCATTCCTCAAACAGTATGTGAGATGGTAATAAACGCTATGGGGGGAAGAATCCAAGAAGGGTAGGGACATAGTACGAACTCATTATCTATGTGCTGAATAAATAATGCACTGAAGACAAAGCAGGGAGGAAGAAAATCCCTGCTAGCTCTGGAGATTGTTATTGAAAGTATAGAAATTTTTATCATTTTTAGTTACTTTATAATGGTTCATTTTTGGGGAGAAATAGAGATGAAAACTAATGATAATACCAAGGACGGCACAACTCTAGTTTTACTACCGCAAACATTAGAAGCGAGGGTGGGCGAGGGGAGTTGGTAGCACTGATGATTGTATAATCTCACCTGATGGGATTGAACAGCAGAACTGTATGTGAATGGATATATTGGAATGAGTATGACATGTCAATAAAAATATTATAAAAATTAGATTTGTGGGGATAAATGCTTACACAGAAACACATAGATGAGCATTTAGGTTTAGTAACACGTTTTCCTCCCATTAGAAGTAAAGTTATAGAGACAAAGCCCACTATTTCCTAGGATACTAATGCTACACTGATTCCTTTTGAGAGGGAGGTAAAGCATAACCTCCTTTTCCTCCTTAGGGCCTTTCCATCTTGGGCCAGTACATGTCTCTCTCTTTTAATCATCTGACTGACAGCCATACTATACAAATTCGGGTGTTTTTCTCTGCCTATCAGTGCTTTGGGTTCTGGAGAATTAAGGGGATAAAAGAGTTGGATGCATTGAAATAACTTGTATGGACTACATCTTGATATGTTATAGCCCACATCTAAGAATTATTTTCAAAGTGTAAGAGCATCTACAGAATTTGCAATGTAATGACAACAAAGTTAGGTCCCAGCAAATGATTAAGTAAACAATGTGCTCGTTTTTTCCTACCCCAGTTCAGGTAACTCAATAGTCCACAACTACCTGAGAAGGTGTGAGGATCATTTTTTTATCTCTGTTTGGACACAGATGCTCACATTTCAGCAAGGATCAAGGTGATCATCCTTATCCCTTGCTGACACCTTGCTCCCCCACCCTAACAAGTCACAGATGACTTCGAGGAGAAAATTTCAATAGGCTACTGAAGCCTGGCACGGACACCGAGAGAGGAGATAGAATCTTCTCTGGGGGCCTTTAGGAACAGCTGATAACTGGGGACGGGCAGGGTTACACCTAGTTCAGTCCTTCAGAATATACTGAGTGCTGACAACTCTGCAAGGGATTGTGGGAAAACTAATGCTGGGAAGGCACAACACCTTCCTCGAATTAAGCTGAATAAATGGAAATGCTGGACAGGCACAGCTCCTTAGAATGGCAGATTTAGGCTTTGATGCCACTGAGTGTATCCAGGTTGGGTTTGACCAGAAATGAACAAGGATTCTAGTCTGTGATGACACAATCCCAGAATCAGTTCTCAGTGAAACTTAGCTCAGTGACTTGTATATATATTTGTATATATATATACACACACACACATATTGGTATAAACTTTACATGTCACTGGTATAACTTTATATCAGTTGATTGGTATAAACTTCACATGTCATGCAATTTTATTGTGCACTCATATTAAGAAGGTGTGCACAGTCATCATCACAACCATTTCAGAACATTCTCTTTTCCTTTTCACAGCTGTTGGCCCCCCATGTCCCCCTAGCCTTTTCTCCCAGGCCCCTATCCAGTTACTGTCTCTCTAGATCTCCCTGTCCTGGATTTCATACACAATCATGCAACACACAAACAAGAAACAAGCAAACAATAAAAACAATGATCACAACATTGTTATGATCTAGACAAAACAATTTTAAAAAGCTGAAAATACTAGAAGCGGAAACAACTTTAAAATGGGCCAAAAGGGGGATCAAATGATAAAGTATTGCATTTCGACCTAACTGGATCTGCCATCATCGACTTCATAATGCGCTGATTAGCTCAGTGACCCCTAACCTTGGCTCTGTATCAGGATTTTCTGGACCTCCCTTAGACCAGTCCAGAATCTCTGCACCAGCATTTTTGAAGACAAACACGAAAACTTACCAATTTTTTAAATGGAACTATACATCTTATATGAGAGTAGGCCAAAAAGCATTGTAGGAAAAAAAAATAGCAACCTCCACTAAACCAAAATTTCAAAAGGAGAAGTGACTGTCTCTTGAAATGCCCCTCATCTAGGCGTATACACGTCTGAAGGCAGTGTCTCCATCTCTCGGCTCTGAAGAATTCTGTGCGCCTTGATTCCCACCATGCCCACACTGCAGGCGGGGCATCCCCAAGGGACTCAAATGAGTTTCTCCTGAGTCTTCCTTGAGGTTTGGGGAACAACAAGAGGTCTAAAGAGCAAGATCAGACTTCTGGGTGGGTATGGTAACGTTTCCCAAGGGAATTCTCCAAGGCAGTTGCCTTGTCAGGATGGGAACGTCTCTGTGTTTTGTTTTGTTTTTCCCTCTTCAATTTTCTTAAAACTTCTTCCCAAGAAGCCTTCATGATCTACCTGTGTCCTTCAAGTAAATCTATCAAGTCTATCCCTTTGGTATCTCCCCAAAGGAGTCACTATAAACTTCTGAGCTGACCTTTGTGCCTGGAATTTAACTAGCCCAGAAGATTCCCTGCCAAAGCCACTGCTTTGACTGGCGTTATTTATTTATTCATAAGGCAGCTTAATAGGACTAAAGCAGCCCAGGTGGCATAGTGCTTACATATTGTACTTCTAAGTACAAGGTCAGCAGTTCCAGACCACTAGCTGCTCCTTGGGAGAAAGTTGAGTTACAGTCTCATAAAGCCACAGGGGCAGTTCTAACCTGTCTTATAGGATGGCTATGGGCAGCATCAACTTGATGGCGGTGATGTTTTTTTATTTTTAGCGGGACTAAGGCATGCATTACTGAAAGAACTTGTCTGCAGCCCTCCACCGATTGCAGAGACGTTTATTCCAAACATCCTTTGTTTGGAATAAACCTGTGTCTGCATTAACAGAAATACTAATAGCAGTACTTTTCGACTTATCTGTATTTGTAGAAAAATTGAGGCTCAATGAAGTTAATTGATTTGCAACTTGCTAAGATCACACAGACCTAGTCAGTGGCAGAGCTTGCAGTCAAAGCGTGATTTTCATGAATTTATTCATCAAATACATGTCTACCAATGACACTATCGTTGCCAATATCTAGGGATCAGTTCAGTTGTGCTAGTTGCGGCACATTCACTCTGATTCTTTTCTTCCAAATCAGTGGTGGGAGTGTGATTCAGAAATCTTTGATCCAGGTAAAATCCGGCACACACTCCCCCATTCTGCTAGTGCTCAGGCGCCCTCTACTTACCCAGAACTAACGCGCAGCCCGCGAGGCAGGCAGGGGAGGCTCCCGGCCCAGGAGCGCCGATGCAGGTCAGCAAACCGTGGGTCAGTGGGCTCAGAGCTGAAGACGGAGACCTCACGCCCCTGCCCTAAGCATGGAAGAGGAAAGGAGCGGTAATCTAGCAGCTGTTGGTGGATTCTTCGAACAAATTCAGGTCCAAAATATCTCTGAATGCTGTCCTAACGCCCTTACATTCCTAATACCAAGCACTTTCTCCCAAGACACAGTCATTGCTATCACAGAGGGTGGGAGTGAAGCATGAACAAGATTTACGTAATGAAATATGCATGTGTGTGTATGAGTGAGTGTGGCTACGAAAGGTGGTATTTGAGACGCTGTGTCCGGAATCGGTCATCAGTACTGCCAGCAAGCCTTCTCAGAAGTACTTTTGTCGAGTAGAGCAAAACAACCAGGGAAAAATAAGACGTCTTTTTAAAGTTCAAAACAGAAGCGGATCTTGATCACTTCAAAAGTGAATAATAATCCAATCATCCCTCATTTGTCCACAGACAGCTTATGGATTCAAAAGGCCAGCTCTTTATTAAACTTGAAAGTACATGAAATCGAAGTCATCCGGTTAAAGAGCGACTTACCGTGACACGTTTGTGGATCTCCCCACCTCCACGCTTCCCTGCATTTCCCGTCAGTCACCTGGAACCAGTACCAGTTGCCCCAGCGAGGCCCTTGCTTACCTTGAACAAGCTCACTGTTCTCACGCAAGGCCGCATAACCTGGAGGCGTGGGATGTCTGAAGCGATGCAGTATTTTGAATGTGTGTGTGTGTGTGTTTATTCTGGGAATAAAGTCCCTAACATTCTCCAGGTTTGTTTGTTTGTTTGTTTACAAGCCTTGTTCCCTCTGCCCAGATTGTTCTCCCAAATGCAACTTCTTTCAAAGGTGAAGCTGAGGGATAAAACGATGATTTAAAAAAAAATCATTTTATTAGGGGCTCATACACCTCTTATCACAATTCATACATACATCAATTGTGTAAAGCGTATTTGGACATTCGTTGCCCTCATCATTCTCAAAACATTTCCTCTCCACTTAAGCCCCCGGCATTAGGTCCTCATTTTTCCCCTCCCTCCCCGCTCCCCGCTCCCTCATGAGCCCTTGATAGTTTATAAATTGGTATTTTGTCATATCTTGCCCTGCCTGACGTCTCCCTTCACCGACTTTTCGGTTGTCCGTCCCCCAGGGAGGAGGTCACATATAGTTCCTTGTAATCGGTTCCCTCTTTCCTACCAACTCTCCCTCTACCCTCCCAGTATCGCCACTCACACCACTGGTCCTGTAGGGATCATCCGCCCTGGATTCCCTGTATTTCCAGTTCCTATCTGTACCAGTGTACATCCTCTGGTCTAGTCAGACTTGCAAGGTAGAATTCGTGTCATGATAGTGGGAGCGGGGAGGAAACATTTAGGAACTAGAGGAAAGTTGTATTTTTCATCGTTGCTACATCGCACCCTGATTGGCTCATCTCCTCCCCGAGACCCGTCTGCAAGGGGATCTCCAGTGGCCTACTCATGGGCTTTGGGTCTCCACTCTGCATTCCCCCCATCATTCACTATGGTAAGATTTTTTTGTTCTGATGATGGAAGATGATGATTTTATCAAAAGAATCACTGGAATTCTTCTCCAAATGAAGGAATTGCAAGATTTTATGAACTTGGAACTGGTCAAGTTCAGCTGGTTCACACCAGCTGGGCAGAAGAGATACCTACTTTTTGTCGATTTTCCGCAAACCAGTTGTTAAAATGGCAAGTGTGATCAAGGTTCTTTAAGGTGGGGGGCTGGGCAGTGGCCCAGTATGGAAATCACAAATTGACATTCTTTACTCTTTTTAAAAATGTACCTCCTTTAAAACTGTTCTTAGTTAAGTTTGAACTGTATGAAATAATCAACTATCTTTTGACATATCATTAAAAAAACACTTAAAATGGTCATTAGGGCAGCAAACTCGTTAAAGAATTTGAATCCCACCACTGGCCCTATCCCCAACAAGAAATCACGCATATAAAACATATACATGGGGTCCATTTCCCCATGCTGACTCAGTCTACGCTTGTACAGGGTTTTACTGGCTTGACACCAGAGGAAAGGACAATCCATGTCTTCCTCGTTTTGTTGCTATTCCGGTTCATTATCAACAACGATGCACACAGCAGGGGAAACGGGCGTCGTATCTTCTGAGCTCAGACACAGTAGTTCTTAGAAAACCATTTACTTTGGAATTTCTCTAATGTGGAAAACCCAAAGTAGTTGATGAAATGGTTGGGATACAAACAAACAAACAAATGAAAAAACCAAACCAAAATAGCTGATAAAAATGGTTGGGAGGCCAGGAGAAACACATGGTTTTTAGAATCAGATGAAAACTCTGCTGATTTTGCTATCCCCTCGGCAGGGCAAGCCGGCATGAACACAGCAACAACACTGTTGGCTTGACTTGGAAAACCCCTCTTCTCTCATTCATTCTCGCAGTTCTCTGAGAAGAGCCTGGTCCTCGGACAGCACTCCAAGACGTGCTGGATTGGGTCAATTCTTTTGGTATCGCTCATAAATTAATGAGGAACGTGTAACTCTGTATAGTTTCGGAGTAGTTAGAGAGAGAGAGAGAAAAAGAAATGCTACGTAACAGAATTGGGGCTTCAGGTGTTACTTAATAGACCAGAGTGCTTTCCAGCAATGCACTTAAGGTATCAGCCATAGCAACCTTACCTTGGGATTCTTCACCCCAAGTTTCTTTCTCATGCAAATTAGTTCGACTTTGCTCTTCTACTCCAGTCCTGGGCCTGCACGTCCACAGATGGAAAGCAACCCACTTCAGGGCACCGAAGGACAGCTACAGTTAACTAGCAAGAGGCAGGCCCTGGCTAGAAGCAGAGGAGCGATTGGAGTGTCAAAAAAGCTTCTCTCTCCCAGTGCATACTACGAGGATGCTAACCTTGGTGGCTGCTAACCACAGCAGCTCAAAACCCCCGAGGGAGAAAGAAGAGGCTTTCTACCCCGGTGAAGAGTGAGTCTCTGAGAGCTGCAGGGACAGTTCTACCCTGTCCTACAGGGTCACCAGGAGTCAGCATGGACCGGATGACAGTGACTTGGGCCTTTAGAGTGAGTGTTTCTCTCAGTTTACACTGGACTAAGCCCTAAACTGTCAGAAATAACATTTTTATAGCTAGTAAGGTTTTCCAAGGAGAAAAAGCAAACTCTCAGCCCTGAGAAAATGTTGCCCAATTGTGTCACTGCAAGAGCCTGGATCATTACTGCTGTTAGGTGCACGGAGACCGTTTTGACTTGCAGTTACCCCGAGTGATGGAGTAGCACTGGCTTGTAGCTCTGCATAAGCAGGTCACTGGGTTTTTCTGTGGCAGAACGAGGATGGTTTGAACCGCCAACCTTTAAGCGACTGCCATCCAGTTGATTCTGACTCACCGTAACCCCTAGAATCCCCACTAGTGCTTTTAAAAATCTCCACTTCAGAGTGATACCACATCATTCAGAAGGCTAAAGAAGACAATCTTCCCGGAGTCAGGAAGTATTGGAAAGCGTCCTTCATAGGTAGCAGAAACTTGCTGCTTGTTTTTAAAATCTTCCGGGTTTTCCAAAACCAAGCTTACTGTTACGGAATCCATTCCGACGGGCTCATAGAGACCCTTTAGGACAGGGTAGAAGGGCCTCTGTGGGTTTCCAAGACTGTAAATCTTTACTGGAACAGAAAGCCTCATATTTCTCCTACAGAGCGAAAGTGGTTTCAAACTGCTGACTGGGTGACTGGTCACCAACCCACTACCACTGAAGTCCACTCCTAGTTAGTCCCAGCACACCTGGACCAGACTCTACACCGCGTGAGGTTTCGTCAGTCAGATAAAGTGATTTTTTTTGACCAGCTGTCAAAGTAGAAATACAGACAGGATCTGTCTGAATCCAGAATACTTGCTACTTCCTTTTATAAAGAGGCTTATAAAAAAAGCCCCCCCCCCATCTTTCCATTTCATTTTTCCATGTGCTATTTGAAGACTCCTCCCATGGGAGAGATTCGCCTTACTCTCCAGGTGAGAAAGGGATTACTAGATAGGAAGCCACCAGGTGCAAACTTTAGAGCTGGAAGACCCTTACCTTAGCACCCACTTCCTTTGCAGAGGGGCCTATGGAACCCAAACCGGTATAACTGGCCTGTTCTCCAGAGAAAGCATCATCCTTGTCGGTTTTAAATAGATGCATTTAAAGTGATATATTCAAAGTGATACATACATAGCACATATCTATATACTCATGATATATATGTGTACATCATGATTCATGTATATATACACGCGAACACAAAGATGTAGCACTAAGGCGGCCTCTGGCCAGAACAGGGTGGGGTTGAAAGTGTCCGGGAAGCCACCTCAGGGAGCTGGAGAAGTTAGCAGAGAGATGCAGGCACAGCCAGGGCTGATTTAGACCACGAGAAGGAAAGGGGTGTCGCTGCTGGTAAAACAGTCTCCGCTGTCGCTGCAGATGGTGCAGAAGCCATGTACATTGAGCTGGCAAAGGGGCAAAGGCAGGCACTTCCGGAGAATTGCCTCCTGCTCAGGTGCAGGGACGGGGTGAGGTGGGCACGGCCAGTGGGGGCCCTAGGTTCCAGGAAAGGCTGATAGAGACCGCGAGGTCGTGCCTAGCAGAGGTGGCGACAGCGAGAGACCCCGAGGCGCGGGGGAGCCCAGGGGACAGCCCTTCCCCGCCGCGCCCCAGCCCGGCAGCTCGCGGGCGTCTCCGGGGGTCCCGGCTCCAAGGTCCCCTTCCCGGCGCCGCGCGCACTCACCGGCC